TGTGAAAACCAAGACATTCGTATGTGGGGAAGTTGCAATTGCCGCAGAACAATAGAAGGTTGCCTGCTTTTTGCACGCATTGTTACTTAATTTTGAACACGACAACCCTTCCAAATTATACCAATTTATATGGAATAGACTTCTGAACCTTTTACGTCACTACTTGATTTTCAATGCACTGTGGGATCAGTTTCAAGAGAAAACAAAAGAAATCCGCCATGTTCTGTCCCAAACATATCCTACAATGCATTGCATATACGGTACATGACGTAAAAGCTGCAGAGGTCTATTTGCCTTTTATTTGTATTCTGCCATTGTGTTTTTGATGTGCAAATTGAATTATTATTTACTGCGTGGACCCACCATTTAGTGGGTCATAATTARTCATTTGTGAAAAATTGCTTTTTTCCAACTCTTATGTGGGATTCTTCCATATTAATTCATAGATAATAATTTATAAATTCATTTTTATTCTAATAGAAAAAATCATCTCAGAAGACCCAGCATTTGAAAATACTGAGGACATTTTTATGGACAGAGCACAGCTGTATGAAATGACTTTGAAAAAAGGATTGCGTTATCATCAGCTTAAGACAGAATGCAATCTCACTGATCCTGGGGACTTATATATTCTACGAAGGTATGAATCACGGCAACAATTTGTGCTTAATTGAATTATTCATATACAGTAATATTAATAATCATGAGAAAATTGCCACCATGATTATTCATAATGGAAGTTACGAAATAGAGTCAACACACTTGTACTGTGAAATATGATCGAAATAAAAAGTAACTATTAGTGTCTATTTACTGACTATAGTAGATATTACTGAGCTAGAACAATTCATGAAAGCAAAAAAGCAATGCTGCACAACTTTATTTCATGCGAACGCAATCTGTATTTATTTGGAATTAAATGTTATATGATTAAACTTTCTTTTATAATTTCAAAATGTATACACATAATTAGGGCAATTCTTTTTATGCCCTTTCAATTAACTCATTTCGCCATAAAGCCTACATTTAACACAAGTTCTAGCCAGTCCTGACATCTTTCCTCTGCATTTAATAGCATCTAACTATTTATACCAACTCCAACTTTTTTAACAAATAGATTCCTCCTTCATTATTTTAGACCTTCCAAGTCTCATATGTATTATTTACCTTTTGTCTTCATGAATTGTTCTGATTCAGTAGTATTTGCTATGATATACAAATAGACAGTAAATAAAAACTAATTATAATTTATAGTTAAAATACTTCTCTGATTATGTTTCACAGTACAAATGTATTGACAGTCTACTTTGCCCCTTGCCTAGATATATAGTTATTTGCTATACGGGAGAATTACCCTAGAAATACCGTAGAAATAGTAGAGATACCATTTCACTGTAGCAGGATTAATGTGTTATCAAAAACTTCTTATTGTCTTTGATGGATGTCAGTATAATTGCAGTTTTGATGGTTGCGGTGTAGATACCGATGAATTCCTTACTTTTCCGATTTGTCTTGAACAGTGTATGGATTTTTACTTTCTAGTGTCTTAAACAGGGTCAGGGTTTTAGACCACTGGCAGCATATACCTACAATGGGAGACATTTCTAATGGTACAACACGATTATTTTGAACAATTTACTGAATTTTCCTGTTTCCCTACCCCACCTGCCCCCTATCCCCCCCTTTCCCCCCTATTCAATGTTGGAAGATGCCCATGTTCAATACCCATTCAAAAATTGATCTCACATGAAACCAACATTGAATGAGGGGGGGGGGGGGGTTTGGGGGGGAGGTTTACAATATCAGAACTGCAGATCAGAACTGGGACTATTTCCCTTGAGAGTAAGTGCCAGATTAAGAGTGATAAAGTTTTGGATTAATTTCGTTACTTCTGATAAAATAAAGTTATCATACCTAACGTTACAAGACTGTGCYKYTGACAAYACTCYAGATTCATGTAGCTGGAGCGGGAAAGTCAAACAAATTTTAAACAAATTAGGCTACAGCTTTGTATGGCAACAAAATTTTGACAAAATGAAAGGGAAAATACTAGCAAAACAAATAAAACAGAGATTAGAGGACATTGAAATACAAACATGGTTAGGGGAAATTCATGATGATATGGGTAGAAAAGACACTCAAAGAAACAAACTTAGAACTTATAGAACTTTTAAAATAACCTACCAACAGGAAAGTTATCTCAAAGAAGTCAGCAATATCAAACATAGAATAGCACTTACTAAACTTAGAATTAGTAATCATTCTTTAGAAATTGAAAGAGGGAGGTATTCACGCCCATATGTCAAACCAGAAGAGAGAATATGTCCTCTCTGCAAAAATGAAAGTGAAGATGAGAAACATTTTCTTCTCAGATGTTCCTTTTTCTCCACAAAGAGAAAAGAAATATTTGAAAAGATAAATATTATTACAAAGAAAAATATCGAGTTTCTTACTGAAGACGAAAAGTTTCACTATATGATAAATCCAATTTCAAATAAATTGTTTCAAAAAATAATCGCAAAACACATTTATGAATGCTTTGAAATAAGAAAAACGGTTACTGGAACATTTCATWAATAATATATACAATCATAAAGTATGTTATTGCATATAAACTCTAATGTAAATATCATTTATACAGAGGCAATAATAAAATATCTTGTATCTTGTATCTTGTATCTCTGAAAGGTACAAAAATACGAGCTTGTCCCGTATAAATATGTCCACCATTGTAGTATCCAAAACTGGGTTGAGCTCCCCCTCCCTCCCCCCATTTCAATCTCCTACCATAGATCCTTCATCAGTGCTATTAAAAGTTAACAAAGAGACTGTTGTTAATATAGCATTTATGTCAATATTTAATAACTTGTCATGTCTCACTGTGTTCTATGATATTTTTTTGAATTTCACTYTCCAAATTCCATGCTCAAGGAAAAGTGGCTGGTAATAAATAATGGTCTCTTTGCGAACTTTTAGCACTGATTAAGATCTATGTTAGCTCACTGAATAGTCTGGATTATATACATCTGTGCCAGAGGCAAAGTACATTACTTGTATTTTCAAGTTTTGTATTATTATTTTTTGTCAGAGCTATTGGTAGACCATTGGTGTTTGGTCTGAATGATTTAATGTTCATTCCATCTATTCAGGTATATTATATCAATACAACATTTGTTATWCAGCTCTATAGATTGTGCCATGGCATTTGATTTGAACAACGGGATGTTTATTCCTTCTATAGAGGTACTACTGAAGGGCTTATGTGACCATACCTACTTTTAATCAACAAAAATTAATGTGCAGAAATAGAAGGTTGTCATAAGTATATCATCCATTGTTAAGACATCCAATGTGTAAAAAAGGCAACAGGAAATTCATAAGGATTTGTATGCCTTGCATCTCCAATCCAACTCCATTATGCTAATGATAAATTGATCTTTCCAAATCTGGACAACATTTTTTTTAGCTCATTGATTTAAGGTAGCTGTATCCACTAGCTAAAACAATTTTAATTGTTAAATAGCTTTCACAACTTTCAAAAATTGTGTGAATATGTCAATCATCAAGGAACAAAATTTAAAAATGCCTCGAAGACCAGACTTCCTCTCTTAAACAAAGTACACATTTTTAAAAATTCACATCTTCATCAATTAATGAAATATCTTTTTGAAAAGTCAGAATATTCTATCTCTATGAAACAGCAAAATCATGCTTACTTCAAGTGTGATATTAGGGTATATCCAAGTAACAACATTTTKTCTGATGTTGTAGAGCATGGGCACAAAGGAACAGCAAGAAAAGTGGATTCCACCAGCCAAAAACTATAATATTATAGGGACATATGCACAGACTGAGCTTGGCCATGGTAAGGATTTCATCCAGCTGACTAAGATACATTGTTTATTATCTAGTAAAGCCTGCCGCACAGGAGAGGAAAGTGCAAAGTGAAATGCCACTTGAGTTTCTTTCATTATTGTACAGCATTTTGCTCACTATGAATGTAGCAAAAATAGTATGCTCACACTGATTAAAGTGACATGGCATGGCATTTCGCTTACACAATTTTCTTTCATGTGGCGAGCTTAATGTACACCATTCTCAAAAAAAAGATGGCCTTTGAATAGCATATTTGAGTTAAAACTTTGCTTACTCTGGCTTACTATCACTTTGCGATGTTAACAATAATAAATTTCTTTATGCCAGGTACAAACATAAGAGCCTTACAGACCACAGCAACATATGATAAATCACGACAAGAGTTTGTGATGCATTCACCTCAACTCTCAGCTAGCAAATGGTGGCCTGGCAATTGTAAGTAGAATTCCTAGATAAAATAAGAATCAGACAATTCTGTTGGAAAATTTAAGTAATTTCATTTTAAACAAATATAACCCATTTACATCAAAAGGTCACAAATGCGGATCCAGGGGTGGGCAAAAGGGGGCTGTAGCCCCCCCCCCCGCCTCCTCGACTTCAGAAAATATAATAATAAAAGAAACCAAACTATAATAGCAAAATATAGCACTGATCAAAAGCAAAACCAAAAAAAAAATAAATGGCTGGATCCGCCCTTGGGTCACATGACCACCTTAAAGGTATTAATGAAAATTACTATGTAGAACAATCAGAAACTGTTCAAGGAAGTTACATCTCATTAAAGCTGAGACCTTGGAGGAGCATGGAAAAATAAGGCAAATATACTCTACTCACTGGTGTTTCAGTTCCTGCCTACTATCTGCACTAATAATATTTGTCTGTCCGTACTCTCCTTTGGTCTAAGCTTAGATAATGCAACCTTTTTGAACTTTCTGACAAGGTTTCTTCAATAAGGGGACCGTGAGTTATTATATGAGAAGGGACAGCACAAACGGGGGTTAAAGAATAAGACCCTTTTGATGCAGTGAGTGAATTGTTAAATTGCGTCTTTTGGAAGACTGGATTTTCCCRCTAGAGACAAGACCCCTTTTGTGTTGTGCTCTCCCATCTTGGCCTGAACCTAGCCAATGCACAGCACGCAAGACGCAAATCAAGCTATGCTGCGCAGATGCACAATAATGCCCATTGACCGTCATGCACCTGGACAATAGACCGAACACAATGCCTGAAGTTTCCTTTTTTCTTGGTAATTGCTGAAATTACTGATCAAAAAAGCTGACATTGATTGATGACCTTCCTTGGAGTCAGGACAATGATGAGAAGGGAGAGCACAAAAGGGGGCTAAAAAATTAAGACCCTTTTGATGCAGCCAGTGAATTAATTGCGTCTTTTGGAAGACTGGATTTTCCCACTAGAAACAAGACCCTTTTTGTGATGTACTCTCTCATATATATATGCTAAATATCTGAATTTTTATTCTATTCTTGCAGTGGCCCATTCAACAACACATGCAATTGTAGTGGCCCAACTGAAAGTTGATGGCCAATCACATGGAATCCAGTTTTTTATTGTACAATTGAGGGACTTAAAGGACCACAAACCTATGCCTGGTAAGATGGTCTGTAGTATGATAATCACTTTGACAACTATTTACACACAATATTATTAACTACTTATTGTCTCTTCCTTAAATTATTTACCTAAGATTTACTATGACTTTGTGGACCATGCAAGCCATTTGCCAATTCTTTGCCAAACCCCATCACATCCCTAAAATATATAATATATATCTCATACTGATAAATATATTCATTGTTATTCTAAATAATTTAGAATGACAATGCCAAAAGAATAACAAAAGATTGCATAATAATTATAATTATTTATAATAAAACAATTGCAGAATATCGCAATCTTTTGAACACTATACTTTTCAACTGACACCTTACCAATCTCTTACTGAAACCCTGTCTGCAATTACTTACTGACTCCTTACCAAACACTGGCACTTTAAATAACAATTGCTCACAAACATTCATTTTACAGTTAGGCAATTTGCAGTGACGCCATTTCATGCAGCAGAGAATGATGGTTGTTGAAGTCCTCACACTTGTCCTCACACTGCTAAAGCAGTCCTTCTGAAATGTTTTTGCTTTTTCTTAGCCAAAATAGATGGTTGTTTTGCTGTTTCTACAAAGAAGGCATAAAAAGGCTTTTAGGGAGATATTTTAGGGTCTGTGATAAGTGTGGGACTAGAACTGCCATCATGCTTTGGAGGACAAAATGGTGTTGCTGCATTTTATTTTTTCTATCTATTACCCATGTAACACTAACACTAGAGCGAATTTCGTATGAGTGGGAAAYGGACGGTACTGTACTGTGACCGTAATCGTACTGTAACCAAATTCTAGTGCCCCATTGGTTCACCAAAATTGTGCAGGCCAGGTTCGGTAACTGTGCGGTAACCATGCGGTAACGGTGTCCCACTCATACGAAATCCGCTCTAACACATTTATTACAAAATGATTGATAGGTATTACTATTGGKGATATTGGACCAAAACCTTCCTATTATATGAATGGAAATGATAATGGGTTTTTACTGTTTGATCATGTTCGTATTCCTCGAGAAAATATGCTCATGGCAAAGACAAAGGTAAMCCTTTTATATCGAATGCAACATTTAATTGGCCTTTCTGAAATTAAAAAAATGGACTATGGTGCCTAGTCACAAACTGCAGTTTGAAGCAATCAAGAAATAGATTCCATGATAAACAGCATTACTAAAATAAGTATAGCTGCAGAGTTTGATGGTATTTGGCATGATTTATGAAATAAGAAGAAAAAAACCTCTCGAACCAGGGTATACATCTATTGGCTTATTGGTGTCTTCACTTTTTTAATTCACAATTGATCTCTCTGTTTGAAGCAAAGTAATGGATAACACCTCATAGTGTTTATGCATGGATGACATTACTCTCCAAGTGAAATATATTAAATGATTAATATTTTTTCAAGTAATTGTAAATTTTAATTGCTAAGATCTTATTCTACATGTAAGTGTTTAGCTTTATCTTTATACATATTAACTTTTTCAGGTTTCTCCTGATGGTAAGGTTTCWAAATCAGGGAATTCCAAGGCCCTCTATGGCACTATGATGTTAGTAAGAGCTGGAATACCTGCAGATTCTTCTAGTTCTTTGGCAAGGGCTATAACTATAGCAATACGCTACAGTGCAGTTCGACGACAAAGTGAACTTAAACCTGGGTACCTAACAACTAACTCCAGTTTTCTTTATTATATGGATAAATAGATAGTAATTATTAATGATAGAATTCTTATACATGCATCAGGAGTTTCAGAGAACAATGCGTCTGCCATCTTGAAAAGTGGGACTTGAATCACTAAATTATAACTCCTAAAGAAATTAAAAGGTTCTAAGCTAATGTCAAGTTAATATAATGTACAATATGATGATAGATTAGTTGACTGAGCAACTACGATTTTTTTTCTAAAGCAACAGTGATTTGGGGCTCACTTTTCATGATAGCGGACGCATTGTTCTCTGAAATTCCTAATGCATGTATATCATACATGTATGCACGTGTGTGGACAGAATGATACATGGAGGCAAACTACCTTGCACATTCCTATACCATTTTTCACTTTCTCTTTTTTAGCATTTCCAAAACATATATTCTCTCTTTCAGTATTTCTTTTTCCATGTCTCTTTCAGGCTTCTATTAACCTACTCTCTCTGTCTAAAACCAATATTTAGCCATTGCATAATTTTATTTCATGGATTAATGAATATCACTTTAAAATATGTTAATCCTCTATTATAATAATTTAACAAGATAGTCATAGCTCCAATTTATGATTTATGTGTTCATATTCTTTCATTATTTTAGTGCTGGAGAGATTCAAATCTTAGATTTCAAAACACAGCAGTACAAATTGCTACCACTTCTTGCTGCTGCTTACATGTTAAAGTTTACCTCTGGCCGAGTGATGAAGGAGTTCAATGATTTCAAGAGTGAACTGAAAGCTGGGAATGACTCCAGGGTACAAGAGGTATGAAATCTAGATTGCATTTTATTAATTAATCATAATTTGATTCTTAAAAATAAATCTTGGTTTTATAACACTACAGGTACTAAGTGGTCTCAAAAAGTGGTGCTGTCCCTTTTCAGAGGGGAGGGGGGGAGACAACACCACTAGATATTTATGCACTAGTCGAGGCCACACAGTACCTGTAGTAAGTTATAAAATGGACATTGATCTTTAAGAATCAGTCAACAAAACTTTTCTGTCTGGTGGGTTGTGCTGAGAATCCATTGTTGGGTCCTAGCTCCTAGACTACATTTGTATATCCAGCAGATGAATCCATGCAAAATCTTTGGAGTGAATCATGAGCTATAGGGAACATGGTGTTTGTGTACAAGTGTATAAGCGTTCATATCTACAGTATTATGAATCAATAAAGAACAATTCTGCAACTAGTTCAACATCTTTTTATTACCTTTTGTGCTGGGGGGTCGACCCAGCTAGGCTACCGAGCCTGGTTAATCGTGAGACCAGGTAGCCTGGCCGCATTATAGTACCAGTCACTGAACTATCGTCGTATCGGCTGTGTTTATACCGCAAAATGGAACTATTTTGGATAGATTACCTCTATATGGTGGAGTTTTAGGGATACAGCACAAAAGGTAATAAAAACTAGTTGTTGAACTAGTTGCAGAATTGTTCTTTATTGATCCATAATACTGTAGATGTGAATGCTTATACACTCGTATGCAAACACCATGTTTCCTATAGCTCATGAGTGGATAACTTTATCCTAGACCTTTGTAGAATGGGCCCCTTCAGTATAGTCCATTTAGCTGTTGCTATTACAGACTTATTAGTGAAAGTGCTTCAGGGGCCACACAGTTGGTTTTGTTCAATTTCAGGGATTAACTGTTTTTTGTATTCATTACATCATTTCACAGATGCATTCAATTACAAGCAGTCTGAAAGCCTTTTGCACAAGCCTAGCTCTCCAAAGTGTTCAGACTTGCAGGTTATGCTGTGGTGGGCATGGCTATTCTATGTTTAGTTTTATACCTGAGATCTATAATCTTGTTGATGCTTCATGTACTTACGAGGGTGAAAATACTGTTCTGTTTCTCCAAGTGGCAAGGTATGTTTGAGATACTTGATAATTAAACCAAGAAGTTCGAGTGGACTTCAAGTTGATTGTCCATAATAGACTGTCACCTCAAAGTTTTACAAGACTGGTTTTTTCCCCAATTGTTTTTATTTCATTTGATGCAAGCTGGGTCTTTCATGAATAGACCATAGTTCAGTAYCCAATCAATACTGGTTTTGTCATAACCATGAATAGTTTGGTTGATACTAAAAGTAGATGATATTTGCTTTGGGGTTCCCTCCACCATCTTGAAAGTGCCTAGTTATGCATCAAAGCCTGGCAACCATTGAGTGTGCAATGATAGATACACATAACAAATAATTGTCAAATAGTGGTTTCTATCATTGTATGCCCWATGGTTGTCTTGCCCCAATGTAAAGGCACAGTTACATGTACTTTTCAAGATGACACAGCGATATTGAGATGTATATTAATTGTAAAATGTATATTTTGATAATCTGATTTTTATAACAAGTGACAAAAAACATTAAATTACTTACCAGATGTGAAGAAAAATACGCACAAAAAAAAACAACTAAAAACAATGAAGCTTAATTACTGGGTAGTCTAAATTCAGTGGAAACATTTATTGCAAAACCCAAATAGATATTGCAGCAAAGGAGCCTGAATWAGATGACTTGACTTTTGTCTATAATGCAATCTGCAATCTGCCAAGTTGTCTTTATAACATGGCTGCATCTGCCATGGAAATTCAAAATATTGTTTAATAGCTCTACAAAAGTTGTACAATCTGTTGATTGGTTGGATTTATCTAATTACCATAATCTCCATAATTTATGTTAATGTAGTCTGGTCTCACAAACTCAACACAATCATGTAGCCATGCTGTAAGGAGGTCCTAAGCAGGTCGCATGCAAAAGTTGTGCCGTCTAAATTTGTATGTTAAATGATATTTTTGCTTGTCTCAAATTATTCAAGAACTCTAAATTTGAGCAAACTTTCAATTTGAAGTAAGTAGTAAGTGTTGTTTGCACTGTCTTGTAAAGTTATTATTTTTGTTTGCCAGGTATTTGTTGAAGTTTGTAAACAAACATTCATTGGGTGAGCAAAATTTGCCGTCAACTCTGGCATACCTTGCTGCTGAAGACAATGGTGAAAATATTTCTGCATTTTCCATGGATCAKTTCCTAAATTCTTCCATTCAGTTGCAAATTGTCCAAATGCAGTCACGAAGGTAATGTCTGTCAATGCTTAGCAAAGTACATGATTATTTAAAAAGTTGAAAAATGGCTGTATGTGGATAGTGCCTGCAAAACAATAAGAGATAATTAAATTTCATTAATAAAATTGGAGAATATGCAAAATGCAGCAATGCAGCATGTAGGGAGTTGTCTTTCTCACACATTTTATTTCACTGAAAAGCATTTTTCTTTTAGTGAGATGAAAAAAATTAATGACTACAATTATAGTGCTTTTGTTGTACAAAATGGCATCGCTGAATATTTAACAATTAGACCTCGAGGTCGAGTGGACTACGAGCTAATAGCCCATGAGGCCGAGTCCGCGAGACCGAATGGGCTATTAGCTCGTAGTCCACGATGACGAGAGGTCTAATTGTTTTAGTATAAACATACTAATYGGTCAAATAATGAAAACAAATTRGAATATCCTWAAAATMATTTATTAATGAGATGCCGCCATTTTGATTTTCCCRCGAGTGGTCTATCACAAATTAGACCATTAGTAGAGTAGCCAATYRCAGCGYAGTATGAGTGATAGACCATTAGTATGTTTATACTAATACCCATTAGCACTCTTAATTCATTAAACATGTTTTCACTGTAGAATGATTCTTAAAGTTGCCCAGAAAATGCAGTCACAGTTAATGATGAAAGAAATGGACTATATGGACGCCTGGAATGCCAATTCACCAGACTTTGTCAAGTGTGCACAGGTATCCCAAAGTTTCATTCCTTTCTTTATACATTTGAATTATTGAATAAAATTTCGATCAGTGTATTTCTAATGAATCTGTGAAATAGAGTGCAGTAGTCAAAGTGTACTAAACACTGAAAAGAAAAACAAAAACATGCAAAATAAAGAGTAATAAAGGACTGTGTTACACCTAAAGTGTATTTCTCAGGTTTATGAAAACCGCTCAGTCTATAGACAATAAGAATGACTTTTCCTAGAAAAAAGGATGAGAAATTGCATTACAAGAAAGGAAAAACATTTTCACCCTGACTGTGCACAATAGACTCTACCAATGCAACACAGGGATCTGAATCTTTACTGTTTAGCACCTTTCTGTGATGTCGTTTCTCATTATTGCTGCATCACCAGTTGGAGTCATGACCAGTACTTACCAAGTTTATGTACAGTAGTGTACAAAGGTGTTGTGCTATCCCCACTGCCACAAAGAAGGTCTACTGTTGATATGGGACCAGMTCTTCTCTCCACACACAATACCMTGCAGASTTAATTTCTGATAAAAGGAGAAATGCATGCRTGCTCTGTMCACTAGTGCCTCAATGACTTCCTCTRGCTCATCCAATGGCCTCATAATCCTATGAGAGTGAGCTGCCCTTGCAAATCTTAGGGCAAGAATTTATGGCAGAATCATGTAGTCCTTGCACATTTTGATGGCCCTCAAAATAATCTGAATTGTAGACAACTTGCAGGTGAAGTCAGAGCACTTTCATTTGGAGGATAAAACAAAAGATTTTGCCCACTTGGGAACTAAATTAATCCATTGTTTTGTACTACAGTTGGAGCTGCATTTCCATGAACTGCAAGGGGTCTATTTAGTTTCAACAGATTTTTGGTGGTATTTTGGGGGGCATGCGAGGACTACATCTCCCATCATGCCTTGTTCTGATATGACCTTATCTTCATAGAGCCATAGTTTCTATCTGATGGTTTTGTATTGTATGGATGTCCTTCACACTGGTCTCCATAATGCCAGCAATTCAATCAGAAAGGTTTTGAAGTCACTTTGTGACTTGTATGTGCTGAATGGAATCATTGAAAATTCTGGCCGTTACCTGGAAGTAAGTGTTTTTGTCATTCATTGTGATTAGCAGAGTGGATCATGCAGTGTGTAGTGAGTCAGTTCTATTAGAAGTTTATAATAGATAACGTATAATGAACTTCAGATTCGACAATGAGCATGAGGTTGAGTACAAGTGCAAGTTTTCAAACCAGCTTTTATTGTGTTGTCCATATTGGATTTCAAACCACTTTCGTCTTTTTATAGCCTGTGTACATCCGTTTCTCATCCCTCAAAAAATCGGGGAGATTTTTTTCGATTTTTTGAGGGGTGAGAAACGGATGTACACAGGCTATCTTTTTATTTCTTTCGTATTTCAATCTATTTACAGGTTGTAATACAATTCATAGTTAATAGCACACTTAAGGCCAATTTTAAAACTCATACACATACTCAATCTTGTGCTCATTGTCAAATCTGAAGTTCCCTAATGTCAAGAAGGGATCAAAGTGGACCATCATGGTGATGGATGAGATTAACTAATCATAATTATATTATAAATATGTGGACTTTGTAGCATTAGGAAATACATGGGCTAGAAATAATGAAATTTGTAGTGCTTGGAAAGGTGGTTGTTTCTGGTAAATGACCTCTAGATTTGTTTAACCAGGTATTACAAAAATTCAAAGGTTGTGGGTTCCAATCCCAGAGAGGTCAGAAATTACTTTGTTAATTTTTTAATGTTTTTTTGGCTGGAATAACCTCCTTTCAAAGCACTAGACCTTTCCAATATTTCTAGACCTTTCCATAATTTTGTCATGCAGGTTGGTGTTCTGAGTACTACTCAGATTGGTATGATCAAAGACCAAGTAGAATTGCTGATTGATGATATTAGGTTAGTTTCAACMTAAGACAGAATGGCCCCTAAAATATTTATCAGTATAATTATAATTCACTTAGAAGCTAGTATATTCGAATAAAAAGCTTTATTTGAGATGTAAGATGTTTGAATCTGCTTATTTTACAGAGATACTTAGGTATATAGGACATACCTCCAACCATGCAAAGTTATGTMCCTGTAAAATATGCAGATTTGAAAAATTCTTTTTTTGGTGTTTATATAGACCTGATGCAGTTGCCCTGGTAGATGCATTTGACTTCTCAGATTATATAATGAACTCTGCATTAGGAAAATACAATGGCAACGTGTATGAAGAGCTTTATAACTGGGCACAGAAATCACCCCTTAATAAGGATAAGGTAAGAGTTGATAATATGTAGAGAGTATTATGTGTGAGCATTYAGAGATATGGATTTTGATTTCATGTGACACAAAATTGCACCCAATCACACTCTTAGAAAAAATTTGGAACAAATCTGCCAAACTTGCAAGCTCTATAGGAAAATCTTTGATTTTGTACCATGTGACCGTTTCATGCAAAAGGCCTATTACTTTCAAGTTTTCTTGTCTTTTGCTGGCATTTTTTGTCAATTTTCTAGATTTTTTGAATTTGTTCATATTATGATCAAATACTTATTTACTGAGTAAGGTCAAGSTGTATGAGAAAATATTTGACTCTTGGTCATTTGTATGGACTTTTATGTGCACTGTCTGTACGGCATGTCCTTGAGCCAAATATTTTCCATGTGGCCCTCAGACTCAGTCAATAAGTACTTTTAAACCTTTTAGTGCTGAAAAGATCTCTGACAAGTGAGTGTACATGTAGGTTGCTGATCAGTTATTTCATTATGTATTATAAAATTTTTGATATATAATGCAGCTCTGATTGGCTGACGGCCGTGTTTATATCAGAAGACAGAGACACGGCTTACCGGCAAAATGTTCTTTTCGCTCGAAAAATTTTATAAAAGAAATATAAAACGGCCGCTTGTACGTGTCTCTGTCCTCTGATATAAACACGGAGGAAGTTGAAAAACACTCGAGAAGCAAGAGAAACACTCGCTACGCTCGTGTTCCTAAGCTTGCTTCTCTCATGTTTTTCGAACTCCCACCGTGTTTATATCAGAGGACAGAGACACGCGCGCTGTTTTATATTTCTTAATTATAACACTATGCTTGAGGAGAAGACTCTCAGCAGTTTAGGGCTTTTTACAATATAATGCACCACATTTAATGCTTCCAACTTAACAGCCAGTGAAATTTACCTGCTTTGCTTAAAAATGCTTGACATACAGTTACAATTTTCACACAAAATGCCGCACACATAAATTAATATTGAAATGCAGTTGACCAACATGACATCAAAKTGAAGTCACAAGTGCACTACAAGAAAATGATAACTGTACAGAAGCAAACAAGTTAAAACATGGTAAATTTGGGTGACTGTTARGTGGGAGTGCTGTGCAATATTTTTGAGTAGCCAAACTGATAAACACAGACTGTAATTAATAAGTCTTTAGTTGTAAATGATCATCATTTTACTGTCAATTATCCTGATTGAATATCATTAAATTGACTGTCAATTTACATGTCTGACAACTTATTGCTGTTTTATGATTTGTTTCAGGTTCGACCTGCCTATCACAAGTACCTGAAACCTTTCCTGCAGCACGCTAAATCCAAGTTATAAATTCCAAACACTTACCATGGATGTAGTCTCAAAGACTTGAAGTAATGTTTTCAAATTTTTTAATAAGCAATAAATTAAATCAGGGTTTKTGCTACTCCTTGAAATCCTTGAACAAGGGCCCTTGAAAAGCCCTTAAAGTGCACATGACGCCTTTTAGAAAAACGCTTTTATGCTGCCAAGTACACTTGTGCAGAAAGAAATAGATTTTGAATTGTATTTTCTGAGTTATAGACTTTTGAAAATTGAAAATGCAAATGAAGTGACGTCAACTAAGGAATTGATCCAGACTTTTTACATTGTTTGCACTATGCTGTTCTTGGTTGAAGAGCTCAAATCATCAATCATGGTAGTGATAATAATTGAGAGCTGAAAACGCTTTTTCCAATGTGAAAAAAAGAATAACGCTTCTTTCATGATTTTGTATATTTAAATCATTCCTTAGTAGACATCACTTCATTTGCATTTTCTAAGTTTCAATCGCCCATAACTTACGAAATACAATTTAAAACAAATTTCTTTCTTCACAGATGAACTTAGCAGCATTTTCTCTTTTGGATGAGAATGAATTTCTAATGGAGTCATGTGCACTTTAAAAATGGGAAAAATCCCTAAAACTCCTGGAAAACTCAATTTTATTTTTAACTCGAAAACGAAAACATTAAATAATATCTTCAAATAAAATATAGTCCTTTAAAATTGCATTTTTGTGCTTACAGGGTACATGAAAAGTCCTGGAATTTTGTTGCGAAAATAAAGCACAAACCCTGAATAACCACAGGAAGAGCGAGTAGCTATTGCCTTTATTTTCAGACACATGCTTTTACCTATTTTTGCCAAGTGGTGAGCACTTGGAGTATTGCGGTACCAAAAACATGCTCGAAAATGGAGGCAGAAGTTAGGTACTTCCCTGTGTACCTTTCATAAGGTTTTCAACACTTGCTTATTAAGTTCTTATATAACCTAAAAAATGTAAATGTCAGTTTGCAAAAAAAGGTCAAATCATCAAAGCTAAGACCAGAGGGGATTTTGGGTAATATGAAACTCTTATTTCATTGCATTACTAAAAAGAAAAGGAATAAATATTCACTGTAGACATTAGAACGATTTCACATAGCGATACAAAAAATGCAAGGTTTATCTTATGCAAATTTTATTGACTGTAAAATAAACTCATGTAATGTTGCAAAACACGCTTCATTTTCTCACTTATTACAGCATTGTTTCCTATTTTATAATTGGATTTTATTGTCATTCATCATGAGCAAAACAAAACAGTCTTTTTTGAGCCCAAATATAATTACGGACTTGAGTTTTTGTTGGCCAGCCTTTGCATGGCTTTCTCAAAAATTAGTTGACACCAACGAGACACCCAAGGTGGTTACTCTCTCCTGCCATTGATCTTGTGGTATTTTTGGCCGAAAGGCGTGTCAAGCTTTTGGAAAATATTTGAAGCTAAGCTTGTACTAGATGCTGCATGGTACAGTTCTGCATGTGCTATGATAGAAATTATAGCAATTAAAGCTTGGCACAAAGACTGAAGCATATCAAGTCTGCTTGGAAAATGAAATTTTTGTGTTTTGTTGTGATGTAATTATATAAAGTAACAAAAAAGCTGCAATAAGTGAGAGAATAGAGTCTGTATTACATGATTACATGAATTCATATTAAAGTAAATAAATTTGCATAAAATAAACCTATTTGCATTTTTTGTATCGTTATGTGAAATCGTTCTGTTGTTTGGTAGATGGAAAGTAATTATACACATAATTACTGCTTTTCCATGCTTCCTTTCAGTCTAAGCTTTGCTGATGGAACTTTCTTGACTGTGTTTTTCTATTAGGTGTATAACTATTCATGAATGTGAGAAGCCATGTACAGTCAATCCCATTAAACATTGTTCAGTTGTAAATGATCATCATTTTACTGTCAATTATCCTGATTGAATATCATTAAATTGACTGTCAATTTACATGTCTGACAACTTATTGCTGTTTTATGATTTGTTTCAGGTTCGACCTGCCTATCACAAGTACCTGAAACCTTTCCTGCAGCACGCTAAATCCAAGTTATAAATTCCAAACACTTACCATGGATGTAGTCTCAAAGACTTGAAGTAATGTTTTCAAATTTTTTAATAAGCAATAAATTAAATCAGGGTTTGTGCTACTCCTTGAAATCCTTGAATGGTCATGGAATTGAAAACTCGTTTTCAAGGGCGCTTGAAAAGCCCTTAAAGTGCACATTATGCCTTTTAGAAGAACACTTTTATCCGAAAGGTAACACGCTGCCAAGTACTTCTGTGAAGAAAGAAATAGATTTTGAATTATATTTTCTGAGTTATAGACATTTGAAAATCCAAATGAACTAAGGAATTGATCCAGACTTCTTACATTGTTTGCACTATGCAGTTCTTGGTTGAAGAGCTTAAATCATCAATCAGTAATGATTGATGCAACTGCTTTTTCCAATGTAACAAAAAGAATAACGTTCTCTTTCATGATTTTGTATATACACCTAGCTACTTGCAGAAACGTTGTCATAGAAAATAGAACATTTGAATTTAGTAAAAAGGAATAAATTAAAACAAGACAAAAGAAAGCGTTCAGCCTCAGTGATCTTCTTTTGTCTTTTTTAATTTATTCCTTTTTACTAAATACAAATGTGCTATTTTCTATGACAACGTTTTCGCAAGTAGGTGTATATTAATAAATCATTCCTTAGTAGACGTCACTTCATTTGCATTTTCTAAGTTTCAATTGCCCATAACTTAGAAAATACAATTTAAATTAAATTTCTTTCTTCACCGATGAACTTAGCAGCATTTTCTCTTTTGGATGAGAATGAATTTCTAATGGTGTCATGTGCACTTTAAAAATGGTAAAAAATCCCTAAAACTCCTGAAAAACTCAATTTTGTTTTTAACTCTTTTATTTTTCCAAAACATTAAAAATATCTTCAAATGAAATATAGTCCTTTAAAATTGCATTTTTGTGCTTAAAGGGTACATGAAAAGTCCTGGAATTTTGTAGCGAAAATATAGCACAAACCCTGAATAATCACAGGAAGAGTAGCTATTTTCAGACATGCGCTTTAACCCATTTTCTGCCAAGTGGTGAGCACTTGGAGTATTACGGTAACAAAAACATGCATAAAAATGGAGGCAGAAGTTAGGTACTTCCGTGTGTACCTTGCATATGGTTTTCAACACTAGTTCGAAGCCTCCCCTTTTGTCTGGCTTCCTGTCCCTCCCAAAAGAAGCTCTTCTTTTGGGAGGGACAGGAAGCCCGATGAAAGGGGAGGCTGTGAAGGAGACTATTTCAATACTTGCTTATTAAGTTCTTAATATATACAACTAATTTAAAAAATGTAAATGTCAGTTTGCAAAAAAGGTCAAATCATCAAAGCTAAGACCAAAAGGGATTTTGGGTAATAGGAAACTCTTATTTCATTGCATTACTAAAAGAAAAGGAATAAATATTTCATTGTAGACATTGTTTGGTAGACATGGAAAGTAATTATACACATATTAATTACTGCTTTTCCATGCTTCCTTTCAGTCTAAGCTTTGCTGATGGAACTTTMTTGACTGTGTTTTTCTATTAGGTGTATAACTATTCATGAATKTGAGAAGCCATGTACAGTCAATCCCATTAAACATTGTTCAGTTATGAAAGACAATAAAGAAACTACAAGGTCATTTTCATATATCACTTAATATTTTTTTTTGCAAGAATATTGAGCTTTAGGTTGCAGTATCAATAAAATTTTATTTGCCAWGTACTGGAGATTTTACAATAGCGATTTGCGAATTTTGCTCCAGTTGTCAAACAATCAAGATGAGGTGGCGTGCGTAAAGTTCAGTMAATCGTGAAATGCACAGTGCTTTTGTCTTGATTCCTTTGTGTGTGAGTACTGAGACTAAATTAGCAAGTSGGCCATTAGAAATACCTCCAGTGAATTTTAAAACATTTTTATGCAAATGACCTTGTTGTCTTTSTTTTTGCAACTGATCGACGTTAGTGGGATTGGCTATGAAATAACATGTATTCTACATATATAACAAGCATATTAGGTTTCAAAACGTATGGAAATATAATCAAAAAAACCTCATATAAACTTCTGAAACTGTATTTTGTATACATTCACCTACAAACAATCTGTCTGCAAATGTATTATATCATTATAATATAAGGTGCATCATGGGTAATTTTATTTAAGTTTGTATTCTTTTCTCACTAAACAATCTAATTTTTGCCAAAATACCTTGGGCCATAGAATTATTTGTCCATAGCCTAGAGCAAACACAGGAAAACCATGAAATAAAACCAAAATGAAACTAAATTATAGAGTGATTGCACTTTAACCATGCAACTGTACAAATCTAAGGTAGTACTAACTTGTACTAAAAGTGGACCTGAAGCAAGACGTTATTGAATGCTTCATTTGTATCAATTCAATTTAATTTGCATACCGAATGCACGATTTACTAAATACAACTAAACAGCACTATTTAGTTTGTACAGTTGCACGGTTTAAGTGCAATCACTCTATCATATAGCGGCTATTTAAAGGCAAATTGTCAGTATAAATGAAGCAGAAYACAATGATTGGAAGATGAATAAGAAATGGTCTCAATCATGTGGATTCATCTTTTATTGTGTTCTGGTTCATTGATACCGACAAATTGTCTCTAAATAGACACTATTCTTTAGTATTTAGTTTGGTTTTATTTTATGGTTTTCCTGCATTTATTCACTTTAACAACTTTCTCCTTAATTTATGTTTTATTATTTCTTCCCCTTAAGCACGCTTTCATCAATGTTGGGTCTTGTTTTGGATGATTGTGTACTATGACTACATGCTCAATGACAACATTGTGTTTAGGGGGAGGGGGGGGGGGGTTGGTTTGAATTGTCTACTTGTGTTGCTTGAAATAAGGAAATTACAATTGGTGCACCAGGCAAGGAAATACTTGGACTATAATACTTCATACTTCTAATATTAACCCTTTAATGCCCAAATTTCTGGGGAATTTTTAACCGATTTAAAGGTGAAAAGTGTAAAAAAAAGATTTCAGCAC